TGGATCAACTCAATGGTTGGGATAAAATAGGAGTAAAGTTAGATGACTTTAAAATGCAAGGCAGTCTTCATCAGTTCTGAGGAGGGAAACAAGAACAGGGACTGAGGACAGTCAAGAAAAGAAAACAGATCTGTCAGTCTGGCTGGGAGATGGGGGACAGGTGGGGACAGGAAAGAGAAAAATTCCCAGGAACAGTAGACAAACAGTTAACAGAAGAAAGGAAGCTTGATTACTGGGAGACCAAGACCTATCGAAAGGGCTGAGGGTCATTATTATCTGTTGCATGTAGAAAGAGTTTAGGAATCCTGTAGCTTACAGTGTACCATAAAATCAGTATCAGTGTTTAGATGTTGCTTTCTCGTGTCCAGAAAGCTTATGAATTTTTGTTCCAAACTCATCTTGTACAGATATTTGGTAGATTTCCCTTGAGCATGAGGATTGTAAGTTCAGAGTGGTTGTTCTGTAGAGAAGAAAAAAAAAAAAGTGCTTTTATTGATGTATGTGTGTTGTCTCTGTCCTTTATATTTTTTCTGTGAGAGTTAATTCTGGCACAGGTTACTGTGGTGTCTAATTTCCCCCATGTAGTTACCATGAGGGTATTTGGTGCACTGGATCAGATGTATCACATTTTGGGAACATGTGTGGGATCCATGGCTTGTGATACATTCGTTGTTGGGGGTGTTGACTGTAGTCACGCTGGAGATGTGTTGACAGGTTAAGCATTGCTTGCCAAAGCAAGGCTATGTCCCACTTGATATCTGTTGAGCAGCGTGGAGTTTGCTTCTGATGATGAGTTGGGCAAAGTTAGATGGTTGTTTGAAAGCCAGGAGTGGAAGGGCTGGGAATATTTCTGTCGACGAATGTGTCACAACCCAAAGTTGTGGATTTTTGATTGTGTGCGCTTCGGCACCGCTAAATTATGTTCCCGCCGAATTGCAGCTCTTTTGCACGACGGAGCGTTCTGTTGTTATAGAGAACCCGCGTGCAGAAAGGTGTTTCCCGCCGTTTTGTAGCCTTCTTTGCATTGTGCATTACTCTTGCATTATAATGATGCACGCTGCAAAGGAGTTCTCGCCATTTGTATTAAGATTTGAGCCACGTTATTGGCCGGTCTTAATTTAGGCACACATGGCGGCTAGCTATTGGCTTGCTAGCCGTACAAAAGACTTGGGTGGTTTCCGCCCAAGTTGGAGAGAAAGACATAGAGAAAAGGAGACGGATCTCTAAGTGCGGTGGGTCCTTTCGAACCCAGCGCGTCTTTCTTAAGAAGGCGATAGAGGCTCCAATTGCCGAACCCCCGGAGCCTAGCAAACTCCGGGGCACCACTTACCGATGGCCTCTAGCCTCTCCCCGTCACCGATTGCAGCCCAGACGAATCCCTACCTTAGAACCCAGTTATCGAAACCACGGAGTCTGAACCACTCCGAGGATCCTGGGAGCCGAATTTTAGAGTCCTCCAATGAGGACTGAAGCAGAGCTGTACCTGGAAAACTGTCCAGCCTACACCGCGACCATTTTCGGTGTAAGTAAATAATCTTTTCAATCAACCATTACGCCTCCGTGACTGATTCTAGCTCGAGCATACTACTCTACCCCGCGACTTTTCTCCGGCCCCGCGTGCCCGGGCTGCCGGCCACAGCCCGCGTGCACACAGATGGGCCCGGCTCGAGCCCGGCGATGACAGGACCGGATGCCGGCTCGCACAGACTGTTCTTCATTAAGTATGAGCTGTAGTTGTATGATGATTCTTGTAGTGTCATAGTTGTTAGGGGCTGGAAGGGACCTTACCAGATCATCAGGTCTAGCCCCCATGCACTTGCGCAGGAAAGACTGCTGGGTTCAGATGAACCCAGCAAGGTGGGCGTCGAGACATTTTTTTGTTCCAGTGCAGGGTGGTAAGTGACTACCATGAGATTTTGGTCACAGGGAGTTTCTTTTTATATTGTAGCAGGTTACTCAGTGGTATTTGGGTGGCTCTTTCAAAGTTACAGTCTATTTCTCAACTGGAGTGTCCTTGTAATAAGGCATCTTTAGGCTGGCTGGCTGGGCATGATGAGTGGTCTCCTCAGAGCAGATGTGGTGGTATCTGACTGATATACCACCTGACTGTACCACCAGGCCTGACTGTAGATTACAGTGTTGTTAGCATGCTTGGAATGATTGCTGGCCTTGTGGTCTGCTGCTTTTTTTTGTGGTTGTAGGGTGCCATCCCAAATGTGGATCATGGTCTATAGAAAGTTGATGTTGGTACAGGAGTACGAGTAGATTAGAGAGTTTGATGGAGAGTTGATAGTTGTTAAACCTGTGATGGAAGTCAATAAGTAAATCCAGGTTTCAGTGCAGTTGATGAAAATATCATTTATGTAACACAGGTAAAGTTAAGGTTTGATGGCACAGCTCTGTAGAAATTCCTTCTCCAGTGGCCCATAATGAGTTTGGCATACTGAGGGCACTATCTTTGTGCCTATAGCTGTGCATATGGTTTGGAGGAAGTGTTGATTGTTGAAAATGAAGTTGTTATAGGACAAAGTGGATGATTTGTGCAATGTGTTGTTGTAAATCTGTGTGTACACCATACTTTTGTAGGTAGGCAGGCAGCTGTGCATTCATGGTGTGGGATGTTAGCGTATGGGCTGGTGACATCCATGGTTGGAAGTATAGCCTTGGATGATGTGTCTTATAGAAAACTTGCTCATTGAGTGATGTCACTTCAGGATAGTTTTCTGCTAGCTCATCAGTGAGGGGACCACAGTTGGATGATGGGTCTACCAGGTACCTTGTTTGTGAATCTTTGAGAGCACATAAAATGTGCTTCAAGTAGGACGGTTGAGGATTAGTAGAAGTAGTTGTAAAAAGGTTTTGATAATACTTTCCAGTTCTAGAGCGAGGACTGGTTGTTAGTCCTCGCCGAGTTCTTTATAGTATTTGGTGTTGGAGAGTTGGGTTGGCCTCACTTACGTAGTCTTGATGGTTGAGGATGACTATAGCTCCATCTTTGTCCACTGGTTTGATTACCTTTCATGGTTGGTTGGCTCTTAGGGGCTGTATGACTTTCCCAAGGCTGTTGTTGGCTTTTGTTGATAATTTCACTGTTAGCTTTCTTTTTTTTGAAGCAGTCAATGCAGTCTTCCAGTGTGTGTTTACATCCACTGGGAGATGTCCAGTCAAATGTTTTATCATTGCTGGCTTTCTCAGTTGTAGCGAGGGGGTTGTCAGGATGCTTCTGTCCTGGTGCAAATGGTCTGCAGAAGAATTCCTCTATTTTTCTACATAGCATCTCGTTGGGATGTTTCTCTGGGCAGAATTTTAGGCCTTTCGAGAGCACAGCTATTTCAGAATGGGATAAGGGGGAGTTATGATAAGTTAATGACGTTGGTGTTCTGGGTACTGCTGTCTATTGAAATGGCTTTTTCTGGTGGAAGTGTGTGTTGACACATTTTTTTCAGCCAGCTTGAGTTTGTGTGTTTATCTGTGTTGAACATTTTATATTTGTATTTGTGTAAAACCTGCTGTGGTTGCACTTGATATTCTTAGTCCATTGGCGGTTGCGTGTGCTGATTCTAAAGTACCGAAACATTATGTTGAGCACTGCAAAATGCCATGAAGCTATTATAGTGTCTGGCCTTTTAGGTAAAAGATTTATCTGAGTAAACTTGTTCCCCAAACACTGCTCTGCATGGCTGAGAGTCCTTTATTTATTCCCTCGGAGTCTGACACACCAGCAAAAAAGAGCTTTAAAACTCCTCTGTGCCTTGTTTGCAGACCTGGGGCCTAAAAATGTATCTCTGATTCAGCATTTCAGGACAAAATGTATTATCTGAGCAATGAACTGCCCAGATGTTGGGTCTTCTGACTGCTCTTAAGAGTGGACTTTGTGAGCAATTTGACCTACTGGTATCTGCAGGTTGTTTTTAATTCTTACTATCAGCCATACCTGACAACCTCATGAATATTTTAAATATGGGAGGACTGTGATCTATAATATGGCTTTGTACTATATTAAATGCTTGTCAGATGCATCTCTAATGGGGAGATATTTATTGGAAGCTCATAGCAGCCAGGTTGAATCTTAAGGAGAGAAGTGGTTTGTACTCACTTCCTTACAAATATTAGCATGTGGCTTGCCCTAATGCTCTGTGGCTTTTTCCTTTAATTGGTTCCATCTCTGTTACCATTAAGACAACTACGTCCCATTATGGAAGTACACAATTAAATAAGTGATCTGCTTGTACAGCTTTCTGAATGACTTACAGGCTATACTACTCTACCTCTTTATCTCATATAGCACTACTAAATGTGTAAAAGATTTACAAACAAACAGCAAAGTGCTGCCCCTTATCACCTAGGTTAAAATTTTCATATTTCTATACCCTATGGGCTATTCTCATTACAGTCCCCAGAGGTGAAATTCAATCTAACAAAGCTTTTTGCTTATCTAGGCACTATGTTGAATAGATTCACTCTGTCCATCTCTCAATCAGCTCTCTTAAGAGAATGTAATACTTCTTTTACAATAGTCCTACTGCGGAGAAGGGAAAATTGGAAAAAGGCAAGCCTGGTACTATTGAAACATGATGCTGGTAGTTGGACCTGGAAAGGAGTAGCTTGCAACTTCTGAATGAATGGGGACTTCACATGTATGGTAGTGAATGCCTTCTCATAAGCATCTTGGGGAGCTTTGCTCTGCTTCTTTATAGGGCTGTGTCTACGAGTCATATTTTTCTGCTGGTTCCCATGTAAAAAATGTGTAAAAACTCCTGCTGGTCACACTCTAACATCCTTGGTCCAACTAAGCCCAAAGGACCCAGTTCTAGGAGAGTTGTTAGGCTGCAGCATTTTGAACTTAATAGCTTGTGTTTAATATTGAGTATCATAGGAAAGGGACAATGCACGGGGCCTCACAAAGTCATCCAGTCCAGCCCCTAGCTCAAGACCGGATCATCCCTGATTAGCATGTAATCTTGAAAGTGTCAGCTCAGAATGGATCCACAAAGGCAGAGATGCAGGTGACATCAAAGGAAACGGATGGGAAGCTGATGGCATGGAGGGAGGTAGGGCTTATATTCGTCCAGTCTATAAAGCTAGAGGTGATTGGAAAGATGGCAGAAAAACTCTCCAACTCAGACTTGGAAGATGTAGGTTCAAATCCCTTGTGTGCCACATATTTCTTGCAGGACCTGGACAAGTGATTGACTTCTTGTTCCTCAGTGTCCTTTCTCTGAAGCAGGGTTCATAGCTTTTCCCTTTCTTCCAGTGGTCTCAGAAGGATAAATCCAGTAAGGTTAAGAGGCCTTCAGGTGCTTTGCTAATGGTACCCATGGTAAATGTACAGAAAAAGTAATTAATGTCTCATTACCTTCTATACTGCCAGCAACATCTAATGTGATGCCTTAAACTTTGCACCTGGTTACATACTTAGGCCACTGAATAAATGACTTAGGTGCAGAGACTCAGAGCTCCCACCGCCTTGAGGATGCGCTGAATTTTTTAGTTGGCCAACACATGAGAACATGTGCCAGATTGGAGTTAATCATGTTATTGTTATCTCATAAAACCAGTGCATCTCCCCTTGCTTTCATTGCCAAACATTTTCATTCTTCATCTTTATCTACTCTGTTATTCAATTTAATTGCTGTCTTAAGACTTATCTAAGTGACCCCTGGTCACTCTTATGGGGTGTGCTATAAATGCTGAAGGTTTCCTTGGCAGACAAGTTTCTTTGGGTAAATCTGATGTCTCTTATTAGACCAACTCAAATAGTTGGAAACATTCTTCTTTGCAAGCTTTTGGGTATAAATACCCTTTGGAGCCTCCCATACAGAAAGCCTGTGTAATATACTGCACTGCACAGTGAATAACACAGTGTTACAGATGTTTTCAAATGTGACTATTAAAGCCCAAAGCATCTGATCTCATCTTTATGTTGACCTACTTCTTACTCCCTTCCCAGTCTATAACAGAGCACTTCTTTGGTTCATCCAATGTCATCTGCAACTGCATAGGACTTTTTTTTTTTCAGAATAAAATGAGTAGATCTTGGCCAATATATTTCTCCCAATGAAGTGAATGTTGCTTTTGTTTCCCAACTGCTGGCTATTAATTAGGTTTCATTGTTATTTCTGCAGCTGCATCCTACCATCTGCTCCTTCAGTTGCTGGATGACAATATTGTTGGCACGCAGATAAAAACTGTACCTTAACATCTGTTTCCATTGATATGTACAATTAGAGGGAGCAAAGACCTGCCTCTTCCTCTGGGTCTATGGATTCCCCTTACACCTATTTACAACTGGGGTCATTTTGCAACTGTAGGTTAGACACCATGGTGATGAATGGTATAGTGACTGGTCAGGCCAAGCGGCACTGATGCTTGCTACCATAGTAGCAGTAGATATAATGTCTGCAACTATAGTCAACTGGCAGGAGAGAGACTCTGAGCAGGGGTTATGGAGGCATCTGCTTAGATGCCTGCTGAGTTAAAGCTGATAAGAAATGGATACTACATCATATGTATACAAAGCTTCAGGATTTTGGATTTGGTGTACTTGGCTATAGGAATTTAATTGGCAAGTCGATTTTAACTGTTATTACAATAAATAAAAAATAAAAAAAAGAAGCCCAGATGCTAAGTTACTCAGGTGAGCCTCAGAAAGTACCATTAGGTTCTAGTGAAGGGTGGGATCTGCAATGCAAAAAGAAATCACTGAAAGGTGGAAGAGAAATCATGGATTTAACTAATGGCAGCTGCAAAATGGAGGGAAAGAAACAAGGATATCTATGCATAACTATTAATATAATTACATTTCTATATTGAGTATTTATTTTCACTTATGCTGGATTTTTCTTACAGTGCTTTTCCCCCACCCCTAGTTCTTTTTTCCTATATATGTAAAATTGCACTGGCAGAAGCTTATTGTAAATGATTGCAAAGCAATAACCTTGAGAATCTGTTAAGCAGCAATTAAAATGCATTAAAGTTCACAGAATAAGCGGTCTGAAATGAAGTCAATTGTTTTATGTCTGCAACCCATGCTTCCAATTCTTTCCCATTGGAAAGCTGAAGAATGATTGCAGCGCAGTCCCATGGCAGAGGAATCCAAGAGAGGGTTTTTTTTCTCTCCATAATTTAGCTGTACTACAGATTTCAGATGTGTAAGTAGGGGATAAGCTAAACACATAGACCCTGCCTTCACTTCCCTCTACCCATGGACCATCCTTCCTCATCTGGCGTGTGAGTCTGAGGCAAATCTGCTTTGAATGATGTGTGTGTGAAGCATGGAACCGTGTATTTGCAACCTCCATTTTGGGTTATAGAAATAAATTACTTATAGGGTGAAATTAGTATTCTGGATAAACTCCAGAGCAGTTTGCACCAGAGTGTATTGCTTCTGGGTCCAGCATTTACACATGCATCTGGGACCTCAGCACATTGAACCAGGGTGGGGTGGCTCTGCCTGGCAGGGGTGCCAGGGGTCAGCCTGCCAGCCTAGAGATGCTCTGCTCCAACTTAACATGCTGCAGGGGGGCACTGGCCTGCAAACGGACCCCATACCACTCACCTGGCCTGTGGGGCTGAAAGGTGGTCACCACTGGGCTTGAGGGTCTTGCTTTTCTTCCCAGAGTTAAGCTGATTGCTAAACGTAGGATCAGGAAGGATTTTTTTCCTCTGGGACACAGTGTCATGGGCTTTGGGGGCTTTGTCTTCTGTAGCAAAGGCTTAGTCCTTTCCCTAGTATTTTCTCAATGGATATTAGCTAATTACTTCCCTATCCTTTATATTTAAAGAAGTTTATTCCTTTCTACTTAGTACCCCTGCTTTCTGCAAGTCCACTGATAGCATCTGATGAGGCAGGCTGTGGCCTATGGAAGCTCATGTCTTTCTGAACAAGTTAGTCTCCCTGCCCTGCCTGCTGCCTGACTTCAGACTAACACAGCTAACCACCTGTAATGAATGCCCTGCTTTTCTAAGTGGCTTTGACTTTTTCTCATTGCTCCTGCTTGTACTTATGGCCTGCAAGGGGTGGTGTTGGCCTTTTCCATATTATGCCTTGTAGGATTGCGGGAAACTTTGAAACAGGGATTTTGGGAATTCCTTGGCTACATGCCTGCAGATGCAGCAGATTAGACTCAACGGCCTAGGAGACACCTTCCAATCATACATTTCTAAATCCAGGAGAGCTGAGGATAACCCCCCACAGGATGGTAATGCGCTGCTTTTCCCCCATAACCAAGATGACAGCGGGCGCTTGTACACGAGATGTTTACAGCGGAGTGGCCTAATTAGCTCTGCAGTAAATGTCTCAGTGTCTACACATGTGGCCCTATTAGGCCCAGGAAGCTAATAAACTCTGCAGCAGGTTAGTACTTGTAAATACAAGTCCTATCTTGCAGCAGAGTTGTTGTTTTTTTTCTGTGCAGTAATGCACATGTATATGTGACCTGGCTGGCCAGGGCACGAGGGTGCTTCAGTGTGGGGGCTGCTTGCTGGCCAGACCTGCCCTGATGCCCCCTTGTGCCCCAGCCAGCCCTACTGCAGCACATTGAGCTAGGTTGGAGCAGCCCCAGGCTGTCAAGCCGACCCCCCAGGGCCCTTGCCAGCCAGGGTTGCTCTGCCTGGCTCATGGTGCTGTGTTTCTGGGTGCACGTTTAAATGTAGCGCTGGGGAGCAATACATTCCAATACAATATGCTCCAGAATTTATTGCTTTGCATTATTATGCATGTGTAGAAGTGCCCAGCATGACCCAAGGAGAAGGGCGGTTATTTCTACAAAGCTGGAGATGGAGCTGGTAAAGGTGGTATCATGGTCATCTTGGATATTTGAAGTTCTGAGTGAACTCCAAGAGAAAATGATATGCGTGAATTGCTGTTTTCTGTGCCAAGCCAGGTCTACCGCTCCCGAGGTCTCACTGCTCATACCGTGTGACACTAATGCAGCAATGGCCAAGGTTAAATATAGAGACAAAATTTGGCTCATGTCACTGGGATTTGAAATACAGCAGGACTACAGGGAGCTTGGACTGCAGGAGATGTCAGAAAGTGAGCATTAGCAAGGCTATAATGTCCCTATGACTTTATTGGAAGCAAGACCCAAATCTTCAAAACTGAAGACACAACATTAGGGTCTATGCTTATGTGCTTAAATAAATGTGTCCTGACTAATAGTGCCCTGCTTTCTCCAAGGTGCCAAGAACTGCAGCTTCCTTTGATTTAGGAGGCTAAATTTTGGAAGCCTGGCTTGAAAATCTTAGTCAAAGTTTATTACGTTTAGTGTGGATTAATAGCCTTGCATCCTTGGGGATTTTTTTCCTCTAACACACACACACACACACACACACACAAAATGTGTCTAGTTTAAGTATGCAAAAAACCCATCAGCCCTAAGTATCTGCGCATTGCAGTCGGCCACACAGCTGCTTGGAAAACAGCATCAGCTGAAGTCTGTGTTACCCTTAGAGAAAAGCTCTTTGCCACTGTGTTCTACCTTGACAAAGTCCTTGTACCTGCCAGTCGTGATGCCGGGTTTAAAAGTGGAGTTGTCTATTATATTTCATCGAGTCTCAAAACAGAATAAGGATGTGATGTGGAAGACATAGGATTTCTCCTGAATCCTCCACTCCGGCATAAAATCTTCCTTGGTTTGAGTGATTTGTAGGGTGTTTTTTTTTTTAAATCTGTGATTATATGGAATAGAGTGAATGTACAAAATGTGGGCCATGTGGGGTTCATAAAGTGAAAATTGGGGCTTGGCTTTCCAGATCTGGAACTTCTTCAGCCCCTTTGGGCTTATTCGGAGTTTTGCGGTAAATTCTCCCTTTCATGAGTAATATTCTAGTTCTCATCCTTTGAAACAGAGTTTCTCTGTGTGTGCTAGTGGCCCCTCACAACAGCCAGGTCCATCATACAGCAATGGGAAGAAAACATAAATAGAAAGATCCCAGAGCTTGGTCATAGGAGGCAGGCTGGAACTCTGTAATCTTATGGCTGTGCTAGTGTATTTTGAACCCTACCTGAGTCACTTTGAGGTTCAATTGACTAGATTTAAAAAGGTGTTTGAAATTTTCACAAATCACTGCAGTGACTTGGAACTATAGTCCCCACTGCAAGTCAATGGGACTTGTGCTCCTAAGTCTCTCG